GCTTGCCTGCTAGCAGCCAACTCCCTTTGAACGACTGCAAGAGTTTCAGCCACGGGATCAGGCTGTACGCCCGTTGCCCCACGGCCACTTCTGGGCCTCACAAGAGCAGCCAAAGAAATGAGTTGATCAGGCCCACACTTAGTGATCACAAATGCAATAATCATAAAGAGTACTAAAACAACTATAAAGCATCAAACACTAAGCATACGCAACAATAACTAACAATTATTCCCGACGAAACTGCTCTGATACCATAAAATGTATCACCCCGTTCTAGAACCGGTTTGTTAACATCGCATTATGATATTAAGCGCAGTTACAATCACATGGGTTCAATTAAAAATCCGGTTAAATTTTTCATTTCAAAACATGCCGAATTTATAATGACCAATTGCGTGATCATATCCATATTACATTGCGGAATAAAATAAATTAAGCTTAACATCATACTCTTATATCCTTAGACCAAATGTTATTAAATGTCTTCTTCTAATCATTAGATACGCGTGGCTTCGAACCGCGCCTCGTTTGGAGCACTGTAGCCCAAGTTATGACAATTTGAAGCAACACAAGAGGGTGTTGAACACAGGCCCCGCGCGCTTCAGCGCGCTATTGGGCGCTCAAGAGCGCGTTATCGGGCGCTAAAGCCTCCATCTGGGCGCTTAAGCGCACGGAGGCAGAGAGCGTCAGGTCTTTCAGTGTAAATGGGCGCTTAAGCGCGAACCACGGCGCTCAAACGCGCTATCTTGGAGGCTTAAGCCCCCATTTGGGACGTTTTATCGCGCAGAGGCAGATGCATCTCCTCCTTCAGTGGCTAAGGGTGCTCAAGCGCGAACCAGGGCGCTCAAGCGCGCAACCCTGGGCGCTTAAGCCCCCACTCTGGGCGCTCCAGCGCGAGGAGGCAGAGAGCATTGGCTCTCACAGGGGCAGCAGGGCGCTTGAGCGCGCTGCCAGGGAATTCTCCCTCTCTCATTTCTCAAGTCCCAACCTAGGGGAAAGGGCATCCCCATGACAAGACTCAATGGTTCATGCTTCATAACTTAACCCTAGCACTTATCCAACCTCTCCTCATGGATTATACTAAATTTTGGGCAACATAACCTTTGTTTTCTCAACATTCCCCAATTTAGCACTAGGTACCTAATATAATTTTCAGCTCAACAATCCAATACATAAGGAGCATACATATATTGAACTTGAAGTAATCATCAATTACAAATCATGTTCATTACAATTTATGGAACTTAGCTTACAAAACACTATGATCACTCCCTTGGCTCCCATCAGCAAACAGATAACCAAAGGCATGAGCATAGGCTAAGTCCATTCCAAATAAACAGAACATACATCTTTCAATTGTCTATTAATTACAATCTTATACATGTGAGCTACAAAACAACATGTATAATATCAAAATACAGGATCCTCATGCATCACTACTAGTCCAAGTATGGCCACTTGCCACTGGTGGCTCCTGCAGCATCCTTACCTGAAAGAGGGTCCCCACAACACGGGGTGAGATATACAAATATATCTAGTAAACCAGGGGTCCTTGGAGTATCTCTCCACTCCACAATTCCATATCAGTGTAATAGCAATAACAATAATAATGCAGTAAATACATATCTATGCAAAGTGCAATAACATCTCCAGGAGAAATCCCTCGAGCTCTCAAGCTGTCCTAAGGAAACTCAGATGCAAATAGTCCTACTGGCCAGCTAAACTACCAAGTATGATTTACGCATCGTCATGCAACATAACAACATAGGGAAACACCATCCTATGCCACACCAAATGCATACACATATGTATAACAAAGCATTACACTATTTCATTGCATTTATATACACTATCAACAGCCACTACCCTTTCAGGGCTTGGTGGAACAATCAAGGGAATTACACCCAAGGTCCGAAGGCTTACCTCAAGCTTTTGTCAACCTTTGTTCCCACCAACCGGTTCCACAATCAATCAACTTTGGTTTCAAGCTATGGTTTACACAGCACACACCTACATCCAGGTGTCATAGCATCAATCGTGCAATTCAATGAATATCTACATATATTCATCAATATCATAACAACTCTATATCACAACGCGACATGAACTTACCTATCCAATTGAACTAACCAAGCTCCATTGCTTGCTCCAATGGTTGATCACTTACGGTTGGTCCAAATGCCTCAATCCTAGACATCATTAGGACACAATCATCAATCAACCAAACCAAACCATTTATCACTAATGCAAGAAAATCCAATATCAAGCATTAAATCTTGCCATTTTCAAAGTATAGTCATATAACTATCTAAGCTCATTTTCACCGATTAATCATCATTCCTAGCATTTCTCATAACATACGCTAAGCTCCAATACTCCTAGAACATAGCCAATCTATCAACATTTCATAAAAACCCTAAAACACTATTCATTAAACCCTAGATCATGCAACTTCAATGGATTATGGGGTTCAAGGAGTAGAATCTTACCACCAATGGTCACACAACCAAGGATTGATGGCTCCTCAAGCTCCAATGGAGGTTGAAGCTCTCAAAACCCCAAACTCTCACAAAGGGACGAACTTTGAGAGGAAAAATCTCACAATACAACACTCCCCACTAAGAACCAAGCTTGGATTAATGATGAGGGTGTGATTCTAAGTGATTTAGGCTTTTGAATCTTCAAATTTGGTTGAGAATAGCTCCCTCCTCTCTTCTTCTCCTTCCCTCCTTCTCTCTCTTTTCCTTTCTTCCTTTCCTCTTCTCTGTTGCTCGACGGGTTGGGTGGGAAATGGGGGTTCTTTTTGTGTTGTTTTATCACTTAACACATGTTAAGTGGAATAATGCGGGTATCGGTTCATCTATCTATTCAACTCCATTAATTACCAAACTTTACCCAAAAGTCTGGTATATTATTCTAGGAATATTTACAATTTTATTTTTTATATTTTGGGTACTTTTGCCTGCACCCATTTATACCCCTTAATTTTCACTGAGTACACTTTTTAACTCCAAAGTGACTCAAATTCATATAATTAAGCCTTATTCTTAATTTTACTCACTAAAACATGCTTAATTATTTAATTGCATGTAATTTGCTAATTACTTGGGTTAGGGCTATTATAACAGACACACTACGACTAGGACCCCAAATATTTGAATGAATAATTGAAAAAGGAGCATCAGCTCGTTTATTGACTCGATTAGCAAAGGAAGAGCGTATGTGCTTTCCTTGCTGACATAACTGACAATCTAAAGTCTGAAGACCGGATAAAAGAGGAACCATCTTCTGTAATTTTGAAAGACTAGGATGCCCGAGACGACTGTGGATGAGTTGTGGAGATTCTGTGAGAGAACAAGCAACTGAAGGGCTCGGCACATCAAGGTAGAACAGACCCCGTGACTCACGGCCCACTCCAATCGTCTTCCCCGTACTCGGGTCCTGCACAGAAACAGAATGGTTTGAGAAGGTGACGATACAGTTAAGAGAATTGATCAATTTACTAACAGATATTAAATTATAAGGGATGTTAGGAATGTAATAGACATATGTCAAGGTCAATGAGGAGGTTGTACAGATTTGTCCAATCCCATGAACGGGGGCCTTAGTTCCATCAGTAAGAGTAAAAGAGGCTAAATTATCAGAATATGTAAGGGATGAAAAGAGTTCTTTATTACCACAGAGGTGATCAGTAGCACCTGAGTCAAATATCCAAGGACCAAGTGATGCAGAATGAGAAACACAAGCAACAGGATTACCAGTTTCTGAAGCAGAGGCCTGAGATTGAGGAGAGGCCTTCCTGAGAAGGGTCTGGACTGCTGCATAGTCTTCAGAGGAGAGAGAGACTGTACCATTTGAAGCAGTATCCGATTGAGCTATATTAGCAGCAGAAGAAGGTGGCAGGTGAGGATATTTTGTGTAGCAACGTTCCTCATAATGACCAAGTTGCTGACAGTAATGACAATGAGGTCGCTGACCACGTCCTCTTGGGCCACGTCCTCCCGGGCCTCTACCACGACCACGTCCACCTCCAATGTTCCTGCGAAAGTCAGTACAGGAAACTAGAGCAGTAGAATCAACAGCAGAAGACGATGCAGGAGCAGATTTTTTATTCAGATTCAGAAGACCCTGATACGTCATTGATAGATCAGGCTCCCCACTAATCAAGATAGTATCCCGGACATTATCATATTCTTCGGGGAGGCCAGACAGTGTGGCAACCATAAAGAGACGTTCCACCTGTTTTCGATATGCAGAAGCATCAGTAGGGTAAGGCTACATATCCAAATATGCCTGCATCAAAGATCGACTATTGCCAACATATGTCTCCATCTGAATGTCGGATGATTTGCTCAGTTCCATAAACTGAGAGATGATGAAATAGAGCTGCTGAACATCATTAGTATAGAGGTTTTTTGCTTCCTCCCACACTTCAGTGCTAGTTTAAAACGAATAGAAGATGTCCAAGACGACTGGATCAATAGATTGCCAGAGGATACTCAGAAGCTGGTTGTCAATCTTTTCCCAATCAAACTTTTTCTCCTTAGGGACATCAGTAGACTTAGTCGTGAGATGGTTCCCATGTCCTTGGCCAAAGAACCAAACTCGAACAGAGGTGGCCCAGTTCTTGTAATTAACAGAACCCTTCAATTTTGAAGAGGTAATGGACCCAACATTGGTAGAGATGATATTGGGAGAATTTTTGACAGGAGGAGATGGAGAACTGACCTCCGAATGAACAGGAGAATTTGCTGCCATAACATGAAATCACAAACATATAAATCGAGTAAATAGGAACGAACCTGATCACCGATCAAGAAGAGGCGCGCACAGAAAGTCAGACCCACAGAGAAACAACCACAGATCTAGAAAGAGGAGGAGAAGGCGAGCTTCTCTGTCCAAGACCGACCGGAAAAAGCTGCCGGAATAGTGCACACGCGTCGGCAGAAGGTGGCGCGTGAGGCCCACGCGCAGAGGAGATGGTCGGCGCGTGAGGGCGCATGGGAACGCCGGGAGGAGAGGGTGCTGATCGCGTATGGTCTGGGCTAAAAACTCGCCGGAAAAGTTCTCCGGCGGCCTGAGCAGTGGCAGACGGTGGTTCCGGTGACCGTCGGAGGTGCTGACGCGTTCGGAAATTGCTCAGAAGGGACTTACAGTCCTTGATGGCTTGCCGGAAGGACGCACGACAAAGAAAAGATGACTCCTAAGCAGTGGGCTTAGGTTTTAAAGCGAAAACAAGGTTTCTAAGCGGAAGCGAGGGTCCCCAGAACAAAAGAGATCTGATACCAACTTGAATATAAAATAATATGTTGTGTATTGATCTAATTCAAAGAGTTACAATATATAGAGACCTTAATGGGCTTAAGTGAAAGGCCCAGACCTAAAACAATCAGAATATTTACAGATAGGAAGTAATCTAATCATATCTAATCATATCTAATATATTCTAACAGGAACAAAGGTGTCGAGCCGTTTACCCCCTTTCTCTTCTTATAACCCTTGTCCCCTGGATGCATACCTTGTCCCCTACAAAACCTTTCCTTTGCATGATCAGCGCACTTTCCTTCTTGGACTACGGGATCTGCTCATACGTGCATAAAATCCCAAAAGGAAAACTCTCACGATTCTTCTTTCCTTTGCTGTCTGCCTAAGGCCCCCAAATTACACACAAGCGAACTGCACGATTCTTTTTGTCCTTTCCTTTTTGAGAAAACGGATCAGGTGAAGGGTTGAGTTCATATATATATTTTTTTTGGGTACCCGAGGGCAGTGAAGGAGTTGTGGGTTTTGGTACGGGAATGAGATGTGTTGTGGTCCCAATTTTCTTTGAAGGATGATTGGGTCTGAAATGGTGGTGGGTTCGGGACAAGATGAGGGAATTGATGTGGGTTGCTTGAGAAAGAGAAAGAGAGAGTGGGTGGCTAGGGTTTGAAACAGGGTGTGGCTGAAGGTTCGAGAGAAAGGAGAGGGGGCTTAGGGTTGGTTTTCTGAAGAACTGAATCATGGGCTACCCCAAAAGTCCCTCTTTTCTTTTTTTTATTATTATTTTTTTCTTTCTTTCATCATTTCTTATTTTCACTTCTTTTCCCTGCTGCAGCATCTGTATCCCAAATATGCCCATGAATTCTTTTTGTTTTTCTTGTTTTGTCCTTGGCTCATAGTTACAGTTTCTGGACTGTGAGCATTGGGTATGAATCTCCTAAAAATAGTAAACAAGTAGGCCCATTAATAATTTCTATCCAAAGTGTGTTTTGGATAGGTAAAATTGGGCTTTAATCCTCTCATTTCAACTGAATAATTTGGCCCAATTAACACCGAGTCTCTTTTGAGAGCCTCAACTAGTAATATCGTTACATTTTATGGATTTCGATATGTACGCTCGTTGGCTTGTATGTATCTTGTGACCGTGTTCTATATATATTTGAGGATGAACCCACGAAGAATGGTTGAGATGTATCTTCCTTTCATCTTTTTTAAGTAATTTTTTTTAAACATGTTGGTTTTATTCTGTATCATTAATTTTAAAATCATGTTCTTCTTCTACTTTCTTAAAGTTATTTTCCTTCTATCTTTTTCATGTGCAGATTCCAAAATGGCTTGCAGGAGAGTCCACTGGGTCTACAAAAAACAGCCCATTTACATTACCAGATGCTTATGTGGCATCTCAGCATAGAAATGTATGTCTACCAAGTTATTTGCTGAATATTTTAATGGTTTTATGTATTGATTTGGTTTAATTGAAAATAATTGTATTTTCTCTTCAGCAAAAAAATTTAGGAGAGATAAGGCAACTATTACAAGAAGCTTCTTTAGAAGAGAGTCGTAAACGAGAATTATCGTCTGCACTTCATGTGTTCTTCAAGGACTGGTTATATGGTAACACTTTCAATCCTTTACTATCATGTCTTTTATTCAAACATATTCGACTCCTACATATACAAGCAATACTATTTCTTCCCATTTCAACATTTTGTTGTTGATGTCCTTGAAATTTGGACTTATTCTGTAACAAGTTACTGTTTCTCGCACAAAAGTTTTATCTAGATTTCTATTTTACCTTTTGTTGTGGTACTTTCTACTTTAATGACCATTGGATTCTGTATTGAGTTTCATCCAACAGTCATATTACTGCCAAATGGGCAGGGGTACCAATCACCACAGATTCTCCATTTTTATTAATGTTAATTGACATTTTGTGTGTGTGTGTGCATGCACACTCATAATTTAAATTAAACTGTATTCACCATCTCTTTGAAGTTTTACTCAAGCGACCCCTCTTTATTCTAATTTTTGCAATATATATATCTAGCTTATTTAATTGAGCATTATTTACATGTCATTATTGCTTTATTTGTTAACTAAACCACCAGCTGTGTTCATGGGTTTAATTTTCCTCTGCTTCACGGGAACACATGCATCCATTTGTGCAGATGGAGTGAGATTTCACTTGACACCATTGTTGACTTTTAACATAACTGTATACATGGTTTAAATATGTTTTTAGTCCCTATGCATAAGACTCGTTTCCAATTCATCCTTATACATAAAATGTTTTCCATCTAGTCCATATATATATAATCATTTTCAAATTCGCCTCTCCTGTTTGTTGTCATAATAACTTTATTATTATTAGAATAGTCTAGAATAGTCTAGATTGTGGGCTTGGCCCATTAGGTCATCCCATTAGGTCTTTTTAGTCTCTATAAATAGAGAGCCTCCTTGTACAGACTTACACACTTGAATATACAATATATTTCAGATTCAATTTGGTATAAGAGCTCTCGATCTGAGGGCTCTGCTTCCGCATATATATTTTTTTTCCTTTCGTTGTACTGCCGTGCATCATACCGGCAAACCTTTTTACCGCCGTGCATCATACCGGCAACCTTTTTCAACCCTCCGAACATTGTTAGACCCTTTTTCGATCTCAGATCGTCATCCTCCTTCATTATTTGACCAGAAAACACTGTTCACATCGCAAGAAACACTGTTCCGTCACTGTTCATCACTGTTCCGGCCACCTTTCCGGCGAGAAACCACGCGATCAGGATCCCCTCACGCCGGCGACCATTTCTGTCCAAGACCCGTCCCAAACGGCCGCCGCACGCGCCTCCACGCGCCACCACAGCTGTCTGCGCGTGGGCCTCACGCGCCACCTCTCTCCGGCGCGTGTGCACTGTTCCGGCCACCTTTTCCGACCAAACCAAGGCAGACAGGCTCGCCTCTGCCTCCTCCTTCCAGATCCAGTGACCGATCGTTGTGGGTCTCTTCCGTTCGAGGGTTTCTAGTGCAAAAGTCGCTACTTTGTTCCTTTTTCGCGTAATTTTTACAGTTTTTTGGTTGTCTGATCGCTGTTCCTGATGGAAGGAACCAGTAAACATTCTTCCGGCATCATTTCAAGTGCTATTCCATCTATCACAACTCTGAAATTGACCGGATCTGCCACTTACAAGACCTGGTCTACCTCCGTTAAGATCTGGTTTACCGGTCAAGGCCATGACAAACATCTCACCACTAAGAAGACTGATATTTCCCAAGATCAGATGACTGAATGGGAGAAAGTTGATGCTCAGCTCCTCAGTATTCTTTGGCAATCCATTGATTCATCTCTTCTCAATATTTTCATTCCTTTTGAGACCTGCTATGATGTGTGGACGGAAGCCAAAAACCTCTACACCAATGATATTCAACAACTTTATTCCATTGTCTCCCAGATGATGGATTTGCGCAAATCACCCGAAGCTCGTATGGAAGTTTATGTTGGTAAGATTCGTTCTTTGATGCAGGAATTTTTGGCTATGTTACCTCATGCTGCGGATGCTACAGTGTACAGGACGCAAGTGGAGCGTCTCTTTACGGTTGTGACTCTCTCTGGTCTCCCTGACGGATTAGAAAGTGTTCGTGAGAACATTCTAACCAGTACTGCGATTCCCAGCATATCCCAGACCTTTCAGCGCCTTCTGAATCTTCAAGATAAGGTGGCTCCCGCACACGTCACAGCTACTGACTCTACTGCTCTCTTGTCTGATTCTGCTGCTTTAGTCTCTCGTGGTAATTGGAACAATGGTGGTCGCGGTCGTGGTCGTGGCCGCGGACAAGGCGGTCGCGGGCCCATGACTTCATATGGCCCAGGCGGGCGCGGACAGACGATGTCGTATGGACAGGGTGGCCGAGGACAAAGGCCTCGGTGTAATTATTGCCAATATCTGGGCCACATTGAAGAACGTTGTTATAGAAAGTACCCTCACTTGAAGCCACCACATATGAACTTTGCTCAAACAGATGTTGTGCCGCCCTCTACCGGATCAGTGACTATTTCCGCTGCAGACTATGAGGCCCTTCTCCAGAAGAGTTCTTCTCAGCCACCTGCTCCAGATACTGGTAATCATGTTGCTTGTTTTTCTCAATCGTCTCTTGGACCCTGGATAATAGACTCAGGTGCAACTGATCATCTTTGTGGTAATAAGGATCTTTTTACTTCCCTTACCTTTTCTAATAATCTTCCCTCTGTTACTCTTGCTGATGGCACCAAGGCTCCTGCTCGTGGCATTGGGCAAGCCAAACCAACTCCCTTCTTGACTTTAACCTCTGTTTATTACATCCCTGGCATTCCTTTTAATTTAATTTCTGTTAGTCAATTGACCCATTCTCTTTCTTGCTCTATCACCTTTTCTAAACAGTCTTTTTCTATGCAGGATCCGAGTACGGGGAAGACGATTGGAGCGGGCGGTGAGTCACGAGGTCTCTACTATCTGCATGCACCCTCTGCTCCAGTTGCATGCTCTCTCACAGAGTCTCCTGAGCTTCTCCATAGCCGTCTGGGTCATCCAAGTCTCTCGAAGCTTCAGCATATGGTTCCTTTTTTGTCAGGTTTCAGGTCTTAAGTCTTTGAATTGTCAGTCTTGTCAGCAGGGAAAGCATACTCGTTCTTCCTTTGCTAGTAGAGAGTCAATAAAAGAGCTGCTGCTCCCTTTTCTATTGTTCATTCTGATATTTGGGGTCCGAGTCGGACTATGTCAGTTTTGGGTTTTCAGTATTTTGTAACCTTTATTGATGATTTCTCCCGTTGCACTTGGGTTTATTTAATGAAAAATCGTTCTGAGTTATTTTCAATTTATCAAAAGTTTTGTGCAGAAATAAAAACTCAATTTGGTGCTTCTATTCAAATCTTGCGCAGTGATAATGCAAAAGAGTATGTGTCTCTTGAATTTTCTAAATTTTTGGATACACATGGGACGATACACCAGACTACTTGTCCCCACACTCCACAACAAAATGGAGTCGCTGAACGTAAAAATAGACATCTAGTTGAAACTGCACGTACTCTTCTCATTCATATGAACGTCCCACTTCGTTTTTGGGCAGATGCTATTATCACCTCATGTTTCCTTATCAACCGCATGCCCTCTTCTGTGCTAAATAATGATGTTCCCCACAGTATTTTGTTTTCCGGAGCACCTTCTTATCCTCTGCCTTTACATATTTTTGGCTGTACTTGTTTTGTTCATGATCTTACTCCAGGTAAAGACAAGTTGACATCCAAGGCCTTCAAATGTATTTTCCTTGGGTATACCCGTTTTCAAAAAGGGTATCGTTGCTATTCACCTGATCTCAAGCGTTATATCGTTTCTGCTGATGTCACTTTCCTTGATCAGCAGCCTTTTCACTCTACTCCGTCTCCAGTGTCACAAGTTGATCAGGTCCTTCCTGTTCCTTTTCTTGACTTGTCTTTACCAGCTGCAGGTGCCCCTATTCCAGAGGAGCAACCAATTACCTCCATACCTGCAGATCGTCCTCTCCTCACATACCAGCGTCGTCAGCCTGCACCTCCTCCGACTTTGCCTCTTGATGACTCATCGCCTTTTCCTGTCGGCTCTTCTCCTCCGGATCCTCCATCAGAGACTCCTCCCATTGCCCTTCGGAAAGGTATTCGATCCACTCGAAATCCTCATCCCCTTTATTCTTTCTTGAGTTATGACAGACTTTCTTCACAACATTTTACTTTTGTTTCTAGTCTCTCTTCTGTTTCCATCCCTAAAACCACAGGTGAAGCACTATCTCATCCAGGGTGGCGCCAGGCGATGCTTGATGAAATGCAGGCACTTCACTCTAATGGCACTTGGGATCTTGTTCGTGCTCCTCCCGGGAAGTCTGTTGTTGGTTGTCGATGGGTGTTCACAGTTAAAGTTGGTCCTGATGGCACTGTTGATCGCCTTAAAGCTCGCTTAGTGGCCAAGGGATACACACAGATCTTTGGTCTTGATTATGGGGATACCTTTTCTCCTGTTGCTAAGATGGCTTCTGTTCGCCTGTTTCTTGCCCTTGCCGCCATTCATCACTGGCCTCTTCTCCAACTTGATATTAAGAATGCTTTTCTACATGGTGACTTGCAGGAAGAAGTTTATATGGAGCAACCACCAGGTTTTGTTGCTCAGGGGGAGAATTCTGGAATGATATGTAAACTTCGGAAATCTTTATATGGCCTGAAGCAATCTCCTCGGGCCTGGTTTAGCCGCTTTAGTTCAGTTGTTGAATCCTTTGGCTTAATCAGAAGCAAAGCCGATCATTCTGTCTTTTACCGGCATAGCTCTTCTGGCCAGTGCGTTTATCTCCTGGTCTATGTTGATGACATTATCATTACAGGCAGTGATCAGATCGGGATTGATCAGTTGAAAGAGCATTTATTCAATCAATTTCAAACCAAAGATCTTGGCAGACTTCGATATTTCTTGGGGATCGAAGTTGCACAGTCTAGGCGGGGCATTTCCATCTGTCAGAGGAAGTATGCACTGGATATCCTAGATGAGACTGGAATGTTAGGCTGTAAACCCATTGATACACCTATGGACCCCAATGTTAAGTTATTACCAGGACAGGGGGAGCCACTGCCAGATCCTAGTCGCTACCGCCGACTAGTTGGAAAATTGAATTATCTTACTGTGACAGGCCAGATATCTCCTTCGCAGTGAGTGTTGCAAGTCAATTTCTTGATTCTCCCTGTGACTCCCATTGGGATGCAGTTATTAGAATTCTCCGATATATTAAAAAGGCGCCAGGAAGAGGTTTATTATATACAAATAAAGGGAGTTCAGAGATCTCTAGTTATTCAGATGCTGACTGGGCAGGTTCTCCTTCAGATAGACGATCCACCTCAGGGTATTGTGTTCTTTTCGGAGGAAATTTGATCTCTTGGAAGAGTAAGAAGCAAACTGTGGTCGCCAGATCCAATGCGGAGGCAGAATATCGGGCAATGGCAAATGCAACCTGTGAGCTCATCTGGCTGAGACAATTGCTGAAGGAACTCCATCTCTGTGAACAAAGAGGCCTATGAAGCTCATTTGTGACAACCAAGCCGCTTTGCATATATCCTCTAACCCAGTCTTTCATGAGAGGACCAAGCATATAGAAATTGACTGTCGGAGATCGAGACAGCATTTGTCAATTCCAATGATCAACTTGCGGATGTATTTACTAAAGCTCTTAGAGGTCCCCGAATAGATCATATTTGTAACAAGCTGGGAGCTTTTGATATATACCCACCAGCTTGAGGGGGAGTGTTAGAAATAATATTATTTTATTATTATTAGAATAGTCTAGAATAGTCTAGATTGTGGGCTTGGCCCATTAGGTCTTTTTAGTCTCTATAAATAGAGAGCCTCCTTGTACAGACTTACGCACTTGAATATACAATATATTTCAGATTCAATTGTAGGTATAGGAACTAAATTGAAAACCTTTTCGTATACGGACCAAATTAATTATTAGACTATTAGTGTCAGGTGTTGCGACAAAATTATATTTTAACCTTTTTACATGCATGTTTGTATCCTAGGATAGCCTAGATTTCAAATATTTATACCGAAACTTCTCTTAATGCTAAGCTGCTAACGGCTGGTGTGCCTCATTAGGAAAGAAATAAATGTTAGCCTATACTTTCAATTGGTTGAGCAGCATATTTCAAATGGAGGGGCTTTTTTGTTCTGTTGAAGAGCTGGCTGCTCTAATTAATCTTGTCAATAAATAGATAAACATATTATGCTAATTATGTGTTTTTTTATGCCTGGCAGCTTCAGGGAACATTCGTCAACTTTACTGTCTCCAAGGTGATTAATCTTTCGCAGACGATGCTAGGGCACAGTTAATGACAGTAAATGGCGAAGGTTTTTGGTTTCCTTTTTGATACTTAGAATACCCCTTGCCAATTCTATTGGCCCAATAGGTAGCTGAGATCTGATGACGTGAAATAGAATGCCCCACCAGTTGTTCAAAAAAAAAAGAATGCCCCACCTATTTATGCGGTCACGTCACTCTGCACAGAATGGAATGGAATATACAATCGGTAATCTGATTGTAATTTTTTTTATTTGTGAAAATAATTACTGTAATATTTTGTTAGTCTAAATTAATGGCCTTTTTTTTAATTTTTTTTTTCAAATTGCTCCTTGATCTAGTGTACTGCTTGATTGATTTCTTGGGTTTTCACTTTTACCAAATTGTGTAGGACAGAATATTGAATTTTGGGGTTTTATGGTTATAAGCAACTTTTCCCGTCAACTATAAAGAAGAGAATGAACACAAATTTTGCAATTTGAACTTATTGCAACACGCGTGGAAGCATAATCTTTGAACATTTTCTTTTCCATAGCGTGAGGAACAACCCAATTTCCGAAACCTACGATGTCAATTTCAGTATCAGTTTGTCAGAGACAATCTTTGCTACCATCAACATAAATAAAAATAGTGGTGGAAACTGGCGACATAGTTCCCGGAGAATACATCGACAAATTTGCTTAGTATGACTATGAAGTATGGATTCCGTGATCAACTACAACTTTGGTAGTTTATTATCTAGAGACAATGCAGCTAAATTTGCAATTACACTCTGAAAACATGCTAATATCATATAGTGCCTTGGTCATTTCCTTGGTTGGCATGTTAACTTTATCAAATAATTTTTACAGGACCTCATGTGGAAGTAACTTTGGATTTAAGATTTGCTGTTGCATTTGGAACGGAACATGAGAAAATGTGTGGATCAATAGGCCAAGAGAACAACTTTGACAATGTGAAACTTTCAAGTTGCTTAAACCCTTTTCTTTATTAATTTGGTGTCTGTTCTGGAATATAAAGAATATTTTGAACATAAATAAAAGGCTACGTTGAGAGAATACTAAAGTTTTTAAATCAATTTGTCATTAGGATAATCAAAACTAGAATGAAGTAAAAGTAAATCCCAAAGGATGATTCTGCTGTAAGTCTGCCAGGAAAGTTGTATTATGTAAGTAGCACACAATAATTTCGTTCTTCAGTGGTATGGCATTAATTTTTTTTATTGATTTATTATATTACAAGCAGTACACTAAGGCTATAAGGCAAAGTAATTTAAAAATAGTTAATAGCAAGAATTTTTTTTATTAATTAAGCCTACACGAGTTGGTTGCATACATTTGATTTAATATGATAGCAACTCTAGATAAAATCTGTTTCAAGCGTTCGAGATCATGACTTTTTAAAAAAAATATTTGTTAATAAATTTTCTCAGTTTTTACAATTTCTAGATATAATATTTAAACTCGCGTATGGTTTTAATTATTAAATCTTTCATATATTATTATTTATTTATTTTTTTGATAACACATATATTATTATTTTGTTGTTGAATAATTTGTAGCAGTGTCGTTTCCATGGTATAGGAGACCATACTGGACCATTAGTTATGGTTTCGTATTTGGAACAAGAACTATCACTTAAATGATTCATATATATTTTCTTCCCCACGTTGCTTATCTGTTTTTTTTTTTTTTTTTTTTTTTAATTTGTATTATAGCTGTTACCATATGTTATGGATATATATCATATCCTAACTACCTATCTAAGAAGTCATCAAAGGATAAGTATCTAATTATCCTAACAACATTAAAGAGCAAGATACTTGCGATAGAATCCTTATCCCAACAGCAAAGAAGCTGAATCCTAAAGCAACTGAGAGATCTACACAAACCCTAGAGGTAACCCTTATAAATAAGAGGCTAAAGATCTCAGGTATACACTTTTCGACTTATTTACTATTGCTACTAACACTGTGCACACACCCACGTCTTGGCTATAAACTATGAAGCAGCGACACTTCAAAAACCCTGACGTGTCGTGTCCGACACTTCCCGACACTCTCGGACACTCCCCGACACTCCAACACGCGTTATAGTAATTCAAAAAAAGGTTCAAAGGTTAAGTTGCGTTGAGTTTTCAGTTCCAACTATTAAATTCATTGGATTACGATTACCATTTTATTGAGTTTAATATAAATATTCGAGATATCTTATGTTTCTTTGCAAAATTTATGAATATTATAAGTTTAGATACATTTTTTTGTTAAATTATTGAATAATAAATATAATATATACTATATAAATTAAAAATATTATTTAATATCAAAACGTGTCCTAACGTGTCAAAATCTAACATTTTTTAGAATTAACGTGTCGGAGTGTCGTGTCGTATCGTGTCACGTGTCCTGTGTCAGTATCGGTGCTACATAGGCTATAAGCCTATTGCTTGTGCGCAGTGATTGAGATACTGACTATAAGCCAATTACGATACCTATATCTAAGATATCTCTGAGCGCATACCATTTGATATAGCAATACGTTAGAAGACCTAACACCATATAAATTAATTATTTCAAACAATATGAATGTTATGAAATTGCTATTAAAATTACAAAATGTATTCTCATTATATGTTAAAATAAAGTAAAGAGTATTTATGATTTTTTACTTTAATGTTTAATTAAATAAAACAAAAAAAGTTAAAAAGATTATGAACCAAGTGAAAGAAGAAATATTTAATTTTACCAAAAAAAAAATATATTTACTTTCTCACCTATTTGTTTACTACAATTCATCCTTAACTAACTTTTTCTTCTTTTCTAAAATGCACTTTTGTTAAATAATTGAGATGAAGTACCGAACTATGTTGCACCGACATTGCTACGGGACACTAGATATATACGACATGACACTCCGATATATTAATTCTAAAAAATGATAGATTTTTCTCTTCCAAATATTTCCAACTAATTATGTTTAATAATTATAAGATATTTACTGACAACTTTTCCTATAAAAATGAATTTGCAAGAAATTAATACGTCGCATTCTATTAATCTACTATTCTGCAAATTGTTTTAGTCTTTAATATATATATTTATATATATAATAGCAAGAAAAAAGTAAATTTTTTAAAGGGGAATGATATTGTAACAATCAATTAGTGTTACTACCAATGTTACTATCAATCAATTTCACCGTTAGATCGATTATGTTGATCTAATAGTTATATTTATTTTCATCTTTGTATGGTTATTGTACCGTTAGGTTCTGTGAGCCCACTATGTACCCTATAGAGTAATGTTACTATATGGATTATACCACTAGGCGAGGTAATGACCAGACTAGTAGGTATAGTTCCAAGAGGCAAGCAAGTTAATAGTAATGGCAGATTAATAGCAAGAGAATGACTAGGAAGTAAATGGGCATAACAACAGTACATAAAAGATACCTCTCAGGTGTGCCCCGGAGGGCTATTTATAAGGGAAATGGAGCGAGTTGGTGAGGGAGAGGTCAACTCTCCTTGGGATTTACTCCCATGGTGCAGTGTTAGGCGTGCTGGCGCTGTCATTGTGGCAGTGCTGCGCCCTCTGCACTCTGGCAGTGTCAGCTTCCCTTTGTGGTTTCTGTCGTAGTCGCCTTCAACAGCAGGCGTTCCAAGATGGGACATGTTGGTGTATGCCTTGGGCCTACTGCTACGTTGGGGGTTGAGGGGGTCCATGTCAGCCCTAAGGGCTGACGTGGGGCAAGGCTGTGGCTGGGCTTGAGTGATTGGGCCAGCTGAGGGTTGGGCCTGTGTAGTTGGGCCGCCCCAGTATTTGGGCCATCCAGAACAGGAGCCCCCCAGCTTGGTAGCAGCTGTGGGGTGGTGCCAAGTTAAAGACTCCGGACGTTCTTGTCAGGGCGGTGTGCGTCCTTAGAGGGGGAGTTACTCGCGCTTTATGGGTATAAGTTGGCGGCTTGGTAGGTAGGATTTGGCGATGTAAAATTCTTGGCGATGTGAAATGCTTGGCGATGTGAAATGCTTGGCGACGTGAAATGCTTGGCGATGTGAAATGCTTGAGCACCCATCGCTTGGCGATGTGAATTGCTTGAGCACCCATCGCTTGGCGATGTGAAATGCTTGAGCACGGGTGATTTCTCTTGGTGATAACCGTCCTACGATCATTGATGATGGGGATTGGCAGGTGATGGAAACAGAAAGCTGCTTCTTAAAGGTACTTTAAGGGGCTTTTCGGTTTCCGAGGAGCCGTAATGATGAGTTATCCCATCATTACTATTTACGCAGGCATCCAAGCGTCATAGGGTTCGGCGCATTAATGCGACGTGGCTGGTGATTTGTCCCTTTGAAGTGACCGTTTTGCCCCCTCTCCTTAACCGCTCATCACACGATGAGCATGCCATCGTACGGTTAAGTGAGGGTTACTTACACGTGTCTGTGTGAGACTTGTGTGATTTGCGTAACCGCTCATCCCACGATGAGCACGCCATTGAACGGTTAAGTGTGAGTTACTTACACGTGTCTGTGTGAGACTAATGTGATTTGCGTAACCGCACGATGAGCATGCCATCGTACGGTTAAGTGAGGTCTCTCTCTTCCCCCCCTTTTTTTTATATAAAAAGGGGGAGGGAGCCCCCTTGTTAGGGCTCTTCCTTACGCGAAACCTACACTCTTGCGCATTGCTCAGAGTCTTTGTTCCCTATCCTCAGTTTGGTGTGATAGTGCCGGTCTTCTTTCTCTTCTTTCCTGCGATTCTCAGGTATAGTCCTTCTTCTCTTGCCGTTTCTATTCTCCTTTGTGGTTGTCTTCTTCTCTTTTTCCTGCTGTATCGATGGTTAGGTTTACAGAACCTATCCCAGGCCTCATACTCCCTGAATTGGAAGTAGAAATTAAGGAAGAAGAATTTGACGAGGCCTTTGAGGCACTGGGGGATAGTGCGGTGGGGCCAGCTATGCGAGAGTGTCTTGCTAGTTGCACCCCAAGTCGTCCCTTAGTTCCTGGGGTTGAGAGGTTTCCCCATGGGAAGGTGCCCGAACTTCTGGGTTTTAGCGAAGAGGAGATTCAAAATCTTCTCCCCGAGAGAGTATCGGGTCCTATCCTACCATATGCTGGTGAGGCGTCGTGTTCAATTCCCCGTAGTGGGCGCCGCAGAGGGCGCCACGATTCGGTTGGTGAGAAGAGCTCCCGACCTAGTGGGCGTTCTCGTGCCGCCTCTAGGAGGCAGATGCTCGCTTCACGCCATCGCGTTTCTCGGCGTTCTGATTTTGGAGTTGGGCGATTAATTCGACTCGTATCCAACATCAACCGCCTACGTCAAAACCGTCCTTTAGAATATTATTTCCACCCTCGCCATTCTCCAGTCGCCCGTCGTTCCTCTCATGGTCTAATTCTCCCCATTCCCCAATCTTTCCATCGTCGCATG